TACGGACCGGCATTAGCATAAAAAATTAACAATGCCGGGTTCAATGACCGCCGCCGCCGCCATGAGCTATCCCTCATCTTTGGCATAATGAAGAAAAGCTACGCAATTGACGCAACATTTTCTGCACAAGCACTTGAGACAAAGCCGCTACTAAAAGAACATAATGAAAAGCAAACTTAAATAATAAAATGATGAAAAATGGAGCAAACGGGAATGAGGGGAAAACTTCACACACTTCCAACTAACAATAAGAGGCAATGAAACAAAAGCGGGAATTATAAATTGTATACAGACGAACCATTATTATATATGACGTCATGGCAATCGTTAAACGATTTCCAGCTATCAGACGAGTATATATATAAAAATAGTAAGAAAATTAGTTATCGGCCGGCAAAAAATAAACCGTAAACTGATATGGAAAGTCGCGAAATCGAGAAACCACCGAAGAATCGAACGGTAAAAATACAAAATGTGTCATGGGGTCTTGAGATTTTATATACATTATTGTTGTTTTTCGTTTTCTGGCGCCTCCGGGCTGTATTCATTGTTTACCTGTGTTATAGAAGTCTTTATTTGTTGCCTTTTTGCTTTGCTTTTGGGCCATCAACAGTTATCAAAACTGGTGGCAGTAAATATGATGGTTCGATTATGACAGAGAGGTTGACAGCGGGATGAGATCATAATTCTAAAGTGTTCAAATTGACACTTGTGCTCCACTCGGAGAGTATCAATCTTGAAAGTGATCTTGACCCAATGTGTTTAGAAAATATTAATGGGTTCTATGTTCCCCACATCAAGCCGACCTCTAAACGGAAGGATATTTAATCATTTAGTACGAAACAGAGACCCATTTACTAACTATTCAAACTCAACCTTCAAACAGTCAACAGCTTACAGACCTACTACACTCCTGCCCACAATTATACGACACCCCGAAAACTTTAGTTTCGACCCTCGTAGGAAAGTCGGGAAGCATATTACAACAAATTCAAGTATGCAGAATTAAAGCTTAATGAATTCTGCTTAAAATATGATTTTTTTATCTCTGATTGGACCACCCGTTTTTAAATAGCGTTAAAAAAAGCAGAAAAGCCCGATTTTTGCCATGCCTGAAACTGTATCATAGCTATACGACACATGTCAATTTTAACGGCTAGAGGTAATTATTTGGATTCAAATAATTTTTTTTATGTTTCTGGTAACATTTTAATGATTTGGAAATAAAATGCCAAGTGGATGTTTGTTATCCGACGAAAAAAAGGGAAGAATAAGGGCTTACAACGATGCTGGCTTTAATGTAAGCGAAATATCGCAGAAAATGTATCAAATACGTTGTTTTATCCCAAGTTTTTTTTAAATTCGGATTAATATGGAGTGAAGCAAAGCTCTGGAAGGATCCCAAGTTGCCCGACCGCCATGAACGTCGCATAATTCTTAGATTTAGCTATTCGATTGCTTGGAGCGCCACACTTGCCGCTAGTTGCAGTCAGCCTGTGTCACGAATGACTGTCTGGCGGACACTGAAATCATCGTAGTACATAGTCAGAGTAGTCTTAAAGACGGCTCCATTCTTAAAAATGAGCTACAAAACAGAACAACTTAAATTTTTAGGAAAAAGTCTTGGAGACACTGGCCTCAGTATGACATTTTAACTTATTTTTGATTATACAGTTTTTTTTCAATATTTTTTAGGTAGATAATTTTTTCTGACGAAAAAAATGTTTATCTTGACGGCCCAGATTGGTTTTGACACTATTGGACAGATTTACATGAGGTTAAACTTATTTTTTCAAAACGCTGTTTTGGGGGAGCCTTTCATGCGTCTTAAGCGCTTGATCTGTGCTTCCCAGATCCAAGATGAATAGTGGAGAATACAAAAAAGTATTTCATGATCGTCTTCTAACATTTTTGGAACAACATATGGAAAAATATCATGTTTTTATGCAGGATTCACCAAGTTAGAGAGACCCAGCGCTTCATAAATAATCACAATATAAGAGTTTTGGGTTGGCCACCGTGCTCCCCTGGCTTGAATTTAATTTAAAACATTTAGTTTACTTAAGTCAGGCGAGCTTAGGCCAATAACAAGAAATTTTAGAGTGTCAAGACCCTTAAAAGTGATATTTTGGGTCAAAAGTTTCCATTACACCAATATTTACCAAAAAAGTTTGTTAATTCAATGCCTAAGAGACTTTTTGAGGTTGCCAAGGCTTAAAGTGGCTCTATTAATCATTAAACAATTTTTTATATACCATTAAAATTATAAAATATTAAGTAAATCGAAAAAATTGACATGTGTCGTATAGCTATGATACAGTTTCAGGCATGGCAAAAATCGGGCTTTTCTGCTTTTTTTAACGCTATTTAAAAACGGGTGGTCCAATCAGAGATAAAAAAATCATATTTTAAGCATAATTCATTAAGCTTTAATTCAGCATACTTGAATTTGTTGTAATATGCTTCCCGACATTCCTACGAGGGTCGAAACTAAAGTTTTCGGGGTGTCGTATAATTGTGGGCAGGAGTGTATAAATATAGTAAAGCTAAAAGTGACCAAAGTGCGTGTTAGTCTCACCTGATCACACACATAGCTCCCATATAGCACAAAGTGCGATCTTGACTCAACTAAACATCAAGTCAGCTAGCCAAGTAAATATCAGATAAGAACATAAAAGCTCCATTGTTTACCTGGAACTAATAATGATAACATATCTGCTTCAAATGTTATAGTGAAAGTGTACAATGAACTTTGTCTTTGATTAAGACACTTAAATTAATTTCATGCTAAGCCAAGTAAGTAACTTCCACCTGGAAGCTGTCGACATAGAGATAGCCAATCTAGACACTTGACAACGCTCAATGGGGAAATGAAAATGAAAATGGAAATCAACGGAGCCCATCAACATGCCGCAGCTTTCATTCAAAGCAATCTGTCTTGGAATTCAAATATGCAAAGGGTAATTAATATTCCCAGCAAAGAGCAGTGCACACGTCAATGGCAGGCCCAGAATCCCGGAGACTCGGACGCGGACTCAGATTCGGATGCGAGAGCTGACAGCGGCTGCCTCGTATCATATCAAATAACCTTCATGTGGAAACAAACGGAAAACCGGTTGCCTGCACTCCGCTTTTATAAAATTATAGCCGCTGATGGGGGGCTATGTGTGCGCGTAATAAAATTAGAAAAGCTAGAGCGGCTTCCGAGGGGGACGCGGCCTCTGGGGGTCCCAGGAAGCAGCGCCCATCAGCCCAGCAACCCACCAGCGGAGCTTGCAGCAGAGCGGAAACAGTTTGCTCTTGTTGGCCATGTTCGCCGCTTGGCTCTCAGCTGATATTGTTGCCTGTTACTTGTTAGCTGTCGACCGTTGGCAAATCTCAGATGGCTGGCCATTTCTCGACACATGACAAACATGGCTAAAGGGTAGCTTAGGGGTAGATGCAACTAACTAAGACTTCATGGTGAGCAAATTCAGGTGACTGCAAATGGCGAAGGTTTTTTAGGAATAATAAATGTTAACAGAACTCGACTAATTTTCAACATTTTCATTTGAAAAATGTACCAAGTTTTAAGCTAATAATATTCTGGTGCAAATTCAAATTTTTTCCAGGGTATTCTGGCCAGTATAGCAGCCAACTTGTTGCCCTCATTTAATTATGCAAATCCCCCAAGCATTGGCAAATAATTACGAGTACCAACACCCACTGACGGCGAACTCTCTTATCGATACGAACAAGGCTGCCGGCTCACGCCCACAAAGGGGCCCATAATATCAGCTCATTAAGTCGTCAGTGTCTAGAAAAAAATATAAAATAAAAAAAAAAGTTAACTTCCAGGCGTAACAATTGCGAGTGCAACAAAACGCTGAATATAGCCACTTCATTAGCATTGTCAAAGCCAACCCCAACCCCGAAATGTGACTCAACTTCACTCAACTCTCAGCTCAGGGAACAGAAATGGGAAATAAGTAGAGATCAAGATTCTTCAGGCCTTGTCGCCGTAATCTGCTCAACTTGATGGATGTGACTCTGTGTGGGCAAAAAACAAAAAACAAAAACCACTTAGGAGCATACATAAATATCAATTAAATGTTTGGCCACTGAACTTTTGTTTGCCTCACAAAACCGTTCAAGTTTAAGTGATTTCTGAACCATGAAAAGCCATTCCGCAGCAGTTGAAGGTCATTGTCTTGGGCGATATTCATGGCTTTTTGGGTCACAAAATTTGTGTGCTTTCCCCGAAAACACAAGCACACACACACTAATTAAATGTCACAGTCAGTAAGGTTACTTTTGGCTCAGCAATTGGGCAATTGTCGCCGGAAAGTTATGCCGAGAAGTTAACCCAGTTTTTGGCCCTGTTGACTTTAATTTGCAAACGAAATCAAAAGAGGAGAAACGGGAACTCCATGACATACCAATTTGCATAGGTGAGTGAAAACAGAAGCACAAAAAAAAAGTCAGAAAATCTTAAAACTTGCTTAGAGAATTGTTTTATTATTATTATTTTTTCTTCTTCGACAATTCGATGACCAGAACGCTAAAGAAAGAAAGCGAAGCTCAAGTCCAGGAAGCGCAAAAAATGCTGCTCAAGTGAGTCATTAAGCTGGCTGAGAGGTGTCGCCATGTCCCGTCTCTTTTGCAGTGTGGAGGCAGCCATAAAGGAAGCTCAAGGGGCAAGGGCAAACACCTGGAAGACAACAACTGAGCTTCGTTGGCTCTTTGTGTGTGGCACAAAAACACTTGGCCAGAAGGAATTTCCTGGACTCATACGGGATTTCCTTTGTGCAGCCTGACTTAAAGCGGGACATCAAGATATATTTATTTATGTTGTGTCATATAAAAATATAAATTTAAAAGAAATATTTCCAAATAGATCTTTGCAATTGTGATTCAATTAAGGTAAAATATTTGTACATTATGCAACCTTCTACTATCGTTTTTTGGCATTGTTGGCAGGAAGCAGGAGACACTACCAAAAAAGGAACAAAAAAAATTTTTTTTTACTTTACCCAAGCAAATTAGTTCAAAAATAAACGAGTAAACATTAGAATAAACCTGCCTTTCAGGTACACAAAATGGATCAAATTCATGTATTCGTTGTTCTCATTTGGCTGTTCAGTGTGAGTTTTTCAAGTATTCATATTAATAACGGATAAAGCTGTTACCAATCTCTACTCTCAGGTCTTTGCTATGCTCGTTGTTCCGTTACCAATGAAAGTATTTGGTGAACAATCAAACGTAAAAGATGAAAACCTTCAGGAAATAGATGATTCTGATTACATGGCACCGTTGAAACAGGCCTCCACACGACCCCCTGCCAAAATTCTCCAACAAAAGGGCAAGAATAAAGATCTAAAAACGTCAATGCCAAAGACAAATCGCGGGCTGCGGCTATTCCCTCAATTTGAGGGAAAACCTAAAGAAAATAAGGGTGACGAGAAAAAAGAGAGAACCGAAAAGAAAGCAATTGGTGGAATTATACCACCTGCACCTTCCACTGAGAAGACTGTAGCGATTCCCACATTTAAAACGGACTACTTGGGCAATTGGGTATATAATCCGTGGGGCGTCACTTATGGACAATTATTTCGAGACACTCGGTTTCTGGGAGGTAAATTTAGTGGGCCATACCCAGAATTTGATAGACATACGGCGATTTACAAGCCCCCCACGGATCCCAAAAAGGTGTGCAAAAATAAGCCAACAGAAATCTACAACACTCCAAAGGTTTTGAAATATCTTAAGAAGCCATTTTACCACTTTGTTCATAAACAACAGCCCTTCTTAATGGACCTACGGAAATCGATCTACGAAAAGGGCAACTCAGAAGAGTGCCATGTGCCATCACAAATAAACTGGCGAACTTATACTGAGTGTGCGATGATGAGGAACATGCGGATGGAATACCTGATACCATACTACCCGATGCGCCAAACTGCTTCTATGTGGGACTTTAAAACAAATTATCCAGGCTGGCGTTATGAAGGAAATCCATTAGACGACTATGATTATGAAGAAAAACTGAAAATGTTGCCACCGAAAAATTAATTCTGTATCTGGAATAAGCTAGCTTTTGTTGCCGTAACTTCTTTCGATGAATATGAATACAAATTTGACATTAACGTTGGCTATACAGAAAGATTGTCTTGAGGAGATCAGAAACCATTGTGAAACAGAAACTTTAATTATTAAAATATTGCAAGTGTAATCAGTAAAAGATTTAGTTCCACTTTGTTTTTTTTTTTTGGTGGTGTAGAACCTTTTTCCTGAGCTTTTGCGAAACACCTTGCCAGAAACTGCACCGCCACAACGGGAAATGGAGACGAAAAGTGCCCACTAACCACAGGCTTGGGCTGAATTGAGTTGGCATTAGTCAGGCCGAACATGGCCCAGGGAAATGGGAATTGTCTAGGGAAGAAGCACTTCAAAAGCTAACTCAGAAATACTAAGCTAAGTATATAAAATTTTGTATCATTATTATATTTCTTTTTTCAACTACGTGTACCGCTTCTCACGCTCCAGCTTTAGTTGATCGGAACAGATGTTGGCAAAAATATTTCCCGGACGTACAGAAAACATATATATAAAATTTTTCCTATTCAACTTCTTTTTTTTTTGCTGTCAGCAGACAGTGTCTAGGGGTATAAATTCGGTGAGTCTCCAAGATGTCAGAGAACTTAAGGAGTGCAAGTGCAAAGTTTAGAAATATTTATGTAAGTATTTGTATAAAGCAATCTGCTGCTTTGTTGTTCAGAGAAATAAGCTCATTATTAAGAGCAGTATATCTAAGGCGATTCGCCAATTTATAAAATATAAACCGTTTAAAAAACAACAAAGTTATATTTGTTTTGCAAGAACATACAATTTACCTCTAAACTACCAAACTGTCTGGGCAAGGTAATACAAAATCGAAGCCGGCAAAATTGAAATTCAAAACCGAACCAGTTCCTCGTTACTTTGGGGGATAGTTCAATCGTTGGAGTAAATAAACAAAATACAAAACAAAAAACCACGTACCTCGCAGCAATGCAACAAAGCAAAAAACCAAAAAAACAACCAACAAATGTGGAATAATTTGAGTCGCGCCGAGAGCATAAAACGCAGTCAAACAGTCAAATGCCATTTCCGACTGCAGTCAGACATGAATACCAACCACAACAACAAGTAAACACCAGCAACAACAATAGTGACTACAGTGAAGCCTCGTTCAGGCAACTTTAAGTAAGCATGTTTGCTTTTAACCAAATACTTAAAGTTGTTTTGATTCAACTACAAAATCTAAGAGATAATCTAAGATATAATCTTTACTTTCAGAAAGTTTGTTAATTAATTAATTTGAATATTCCCCACTTGGAATTTAGATCTATAAGGATAAGCTAGAGAAGCCCGACTGTTGAAAGCTTTGACTAGTTACCAGCACGTGGCAACCCAGACGGAAGCCAGTATAGTATGGGTGTGCCAAAGGGGGTAAAGGCAGCTACATATATATAAAGCTATAAAAAAAAGCCAGGAGGGCTTAGTGCAACCTATGTCTGACCAGATGTCTGGTCTAAATATCCAGCGAAACGAACCAGGCGACGTGTTTTATGTGTGTTCTTTGGTATTTATGGAGTTGCATGTTCAAACGAAGACAGTTGAGCTTATGTTTACTATTATTATTACTATTTTTTTGGTGGTGGCTGCTGCTGCTCCCTGAGGGAGGCCCTGGCTGCAAAGTAATTTTTCCAAGTGCAGCGGTTACATTCTTCCTCCCCGTCGAAGGTGTGCCCACGCAAAAAAACAAAAAACCTCCACACACCTAAAAAATCCACCGCATATCATGGCTAATTTGGATGGATATGGCGGTGGTGTAGCCACCTGGAACAAGAAATTGTCGCCCAAAGTGGAGCATTCAACTCTGCGGGGGTTGCCTGGAGAATTTTACGTAAACACCAAGCAATTCCGTCCCCAAAAGACAAGGAATACGAAATACCCTTTCGTTAAACTTTACGTAGAAAAAATTATAGCAGCTGAATAAAAGACTAGAAGGATAAATGTCCTAATATATCTTATTATAAAAAGGAAAATCCATTACTTTTCTTATTATTTAAACTAAAAAGAAGAGTATTTTTCTTATTTTGCTTCTTTTGACTTTAATTAAACCTCCAGCTAAAAACGATGGGCGTTGTCCGATACGAGATTCGTTTTTGTGGGCTAGTAACTTGCCTTGACTTTTTGACTTGAAGTTGATAGAAGACTTTGTTTACTACCTGCAAAGATAAGAGAAGACAAATTATAAAGTTATAGCAACAAATACAATATGCTTCATTAAAGTGAATAAATATTTGCAATTATATGTATATATATACTATATAGAGTCCCTGTATATATGGTGTTTATTGATAAAACTCCACTTGGGGGCTATTCACATCTGTCCCTATCTCCCTTTCTCTCCATTTCTGTGCTCGTGCGAATTAACCCACTTTTGTTGGCCCATTCACACCATCAACAACTGCCAACGAATTTATGATTATGAAATCGTATACGGTTTTTATTTAATTTCGTTTCATTGCATTTGTTTACCATTTGCTTTGGGCCACATGAATAAACGTTTTGTGTTAATAGGTTCAAGCGGAAATCTAGTGTGTAATTTCGCATCGAAATTTAAGCTTCATTACGCCACAAATATTGGTAGTTTATAAAATAAAATCATCCTAACAACTTTCTGAAGTTCATCTCTTTGGAACAACTTTTTCCCACAAGCAATTCTTACTTTCAAAATCATTCTTGCTCTCAGCCTGAAAATCATACCCTCCCCTCTTACTTTCTCTATCCGCTCCACCTGTTTTTCCAACTTTTCCCTCAGTTTTATATACTTTTCCCATATATCAAGCCAGCATTGTTGGTTTCCCAGACTTCTAACAAGGAAGCGGCACTCGGGATGACTTTCAAACTCCGACAGTGACCTCGGCATTGCCAAAATTGATCAAAATTCAACTAGCATTCGACTCGTTCCATTGGCTTCCCCCTCATCGCTACCCAACAACTTTGACTTTCTAAGGCTATTTATCTGTTTGTTGAGGTTTCATGGCTAGAAAGTCAGCTATGATCATAGAGTTGTAGAAAAATGCATAAGCATAAGCAAGCAAAAATCATTTTGTGGCCATTTAGCGAGCCAATAAAAGTGTGCAACCGGTCTCTGGTTTTGTATACCTCTTTGTTCAGACTAACAGGGTATGTGGCATTTTATAAGCAAGAGTTTTCAATGCCACATTTAATATTGTTTCTTTTTATGTTTGAGAGTAAAGAGTAGAGAATTTCAAGAGGTTGTAACAGGTATCCACAAGTCTAGACACTCGACCATGGCGTTCTGTCTCGCTTACGATCCCCGTATAGGCAATAGAGTGTATCTGTGAATGTGGCCATATGCATTATTAATGCCTCTGACAATTGCAACTGCATTTGGCCATGTGGCAAGGCAGCCGTCGCATTGTTTATAACTGTAATTTGCCCCAACAGCCAACTGAGAAAAGTTTACAGCGCGGGTATGTGTGAAATTTTCAAAACTGCCTAGCAGCTTAGTTCCAGTTATAGTTACAGGCCAGACTAACAAATGGTCGTGTGCAGATAAGACCCCAATTGCATTCCCCAAATTCTGTCAAGAGCAGTGCTTAATTTATTGAATTTGGAAGCCTGCGTTATATTTATAACACCCCTCGTACTCGTACACACCTGTCCACTTGCGTAATCAAATACCAATTTACGATTGTGGGCCAGAGTTGATTGTCAATCGAAAGTGTTATGTTACACGTGTGAAAGAGCTCAATTAGGCGAAATGGTAATTATTGCTTAATAAAACAAATAGAGAGGGTAAATATTTTGATAGAGAATAATTCAATAAACAACAAAACTCTTAAATAAAATATTTATACAAAGATAAGCTCTCTCTTCTCTCTATTTTCCAATAACTCTCCTTAAACAAAAGTTTTACTTCCCATTCACCTTGCCACAACGGAAATGTTTAGATTTTGTTACTCGCCTTAAATGGCAAAGTAAATTTATTAATAAATAAACACAACCAAACGAAAAAGTTGAGGAAAAACTATGTCCAGCCAAAATATTTGACGCGTATAAATAATGATTTTGTATTTGGCAAATGAATTGTCCGATATGGAATTAATGCCAGTTCGACACGCAACCAAGGCAAGACTTTTAGCCTGATTGAACAACATAATAAAATTTGAAGATATGTATACAGAGAGAGGGAGGGAATGACTGTGAATGAGTGTTTCCATATGTTGGCGAATTTTCAAAATGAATCATATATTTTATTATTTCTTGAAAGTTTTATCAAATATTTGTACAGAATGAATTTATTCCTTAGGAATATTTATTGTATTTAATAATATTTAACCTGAAGAAAACTTTCGCTACATTTTTAAAGAAAGATCGGTAGAAAGTGCCATCGAACCCAAGAAGATATGAGATATATCCATGGGGCAAGACCAAATCGATTGAACCGAAAGTTCGTCACGTTTGTTCACTTCAAAGCGTATCGATGAACCGGCAAAGATCATCGTCATGTGTTTTTCTACACTTTAATATGCTTTCGAGGCTGTTCAGTTTAAGCCACAAAAGCAGAGACGCATAAATAACCAGTGATTTCGATGATGACAATGACGGACCGCTAATCATAATTTAAACATTACAACAATGCCACAAAAACATGCATCGCCCAACCCGAGCCAAATCGACGAAACGTGCGCTTCATTAATATGTGAAAATAATAATGCGACTTACAAGCGGCGTGAAGGAAAAAAAAGCAAAGCTTTGTCGCAAAAAAACCTAACTTAAATAAATAAAATAAATTGTTGTCGACAAGTAAAAGTCAAAAGCGTTGAACGCATTTAACGAGGCGCAACAATTGAGGGAGGAAGAGGTGTGGAGGTCATTATGAAATCAAACTGAAGGTTGTCAGGAGTTGAATCACAAGCGGAGAAAGCTCATGAAATTATATAGTTAAAGATTTGTGAAATGTAATGCATTCAACAATAAAAAACATACTTTATTCTCTTGAAATAGAAACTATAACGAAGATTTGTTGTATTAATAAAACCAAGAGTTTTGTTTATTAATTATTTATAATTTTATTTTTCACATTCCCAGCTGCCACTTGACCATGTCCAATCGGAACTTTCTTTTATAAAAGAAATATAATGCAGGTTAACCTATAATTGATA